AATTTTCTCGATAAAATGTTTCAAATATGTACCATCAAATCCGTCAGGTGTAAATATTAGATGCGCAACTAAGTTCCCGCTGTTTGTCAACCGTTGGCTCCAGCAGTAAGTGCTGGTTGATTCTGACATAACCTAAATGTCATGAACCAAGCTTAGACATATGGTAAACAAACCGCTTCGAAATATTAGTGATTTTGTTGTTACGTCATATTTTTTTGGTTGTGTGAAAATGTCTGATTTTGTGCCAAATAATCATCATATGCGGGAAGTATTGATTTTCTTTTTTCATTCGAAGAAAACGGCGGCTGAAGCGCATCGAGAGCTCCAAAAAGTTTACGGAGATGCTGCTCTAAGTGAAACAACGTGCCGAGATTGGTTCCGTCGCTTCAAAGACGGTGATTTCGATGTTAACGACCGTCCGCGTGAAGGAAGGCCAAAAACCTTCGAAGACGCTGAATTGGAGGCATTGCTCGATGAGGATCCGTGCCAAACGCAAGAAGAGCTTGCTTCAGTATTAGGAGTTACCCGCCAAGCCATTTCCAAGCGATTGCATGCGTTGGGAATGATTCAGAAGCAAGGAACTTGGGTTCCTTATGAGTTGAAGCCAAGGGACGTTGAGCGTCGTTTTTTCGCCTGTCTGTGAACAATTGTTCCAGCGGCAAAAAAGGAAGGGTTTTCTTCATCGCATCGTGACGGGTGATGAAAAATGGATTCATTACAGCAACCCAAAGAGCAGAAAGTCATGGGGGCTGCCCGGTCATGCTTCTACGTCGACGCCTCGGCCGAATATTCACGCTGCGAAGGTTATGCTGTGTATTTGGTGGGACCAGGTCGGTGTTATTTATTATGAGCTGTTGAAACCGAACGAAACCATCACTGGGGAACGGTATCGACTTCAATTGATGCGATTGAGCCGAGCACTGCGCAAAAAACGGCCACAATACGCGGAGAGGCACGAAAAAGTGATTCTACAGCATGACAATACTCGGTAAAATTTAACAATATATGATGAGAGTTGATGGGATGTAGTGAATTTTTCTGGTAACGCTATGACTTTATTGTTGATAATGGCACCTCTAAGATTTTTAATAAAATGTGGTCCATCAGCAAAGAAAAATAACTTACGATTGCTATCTATTGGGTGAGGTACAGAATTGTGTAATACCGAATGTCGATGCACGCCAATGTTGAAGAAAGCTCTCCATATAGCTTGATTTGTACTTCCCATGTCAGATGTAACTCATGTAACACTATGCACACGAAGACCTATATTTTCAGCTTTTTCAATAATTTTCTCGATAAAATGTTTCAAATATGTACCATCAAATCCGTCAGGTGTAAATATATAAGCTACAATTTGTTTCCATCGGTAAAAGATCCCGCCAAGAAGGAATACCAAACCATGCGTTGCTAGAACTATTTCTCCTTAGAAACAATGTATAAAAAGGCATTATAATAAATAAGTATAAGTACAATAATAAGTAATAATATATATGTATAATAATAATATATGATATAGTAAAAATATAAGTATAATAATAAATAATAAGTAATAAAAATAAGTAATAATAAATAAAGTAAAAATATATAAAATAATATAATTACATATATATATAATAAGAATTTTATTAGACCGTACATTGAAATGTATATATAATAATAATATCGGAATTGACCAATCACATTCGTCAATTTTGATTAACGACAAATGCAATTGATCAATTCCGATGAAATAACCACTACACATTACTACAAACAGTATAATTACCCCGACTATTAGGAATAGTACAATTTCCTACAATGGAATTTGTAGAAAGATCAAATTGTTCACCAGGAGTAAGAGACATTTCGTCCAGGCCTATCATGCAATCATGTTGCCTTTGATCTTCGAATTGTTGAACTTTACTTTCCATAGCATCAAAAATATCACCTAATATTCCAGGAGTGAAGTGGATACCTTCAAGGCTCTGTTTTAGGATACGTGTTGATGGTAATGGAATGTTTTGTTTAATAAGCTCTTGATAACCACTATTAGTACAAGAAAATTTTATTCGAAGAGCTTTTTTAATGGTTTGTTCAGACCAAGTGTATACACGTCGTTTGCTACACTGTGATTGTAACCATTCAATTTGATCGTCATTGAAAACTTTTTTAAGTAATTTTCTTGATTGTAACAAACTTTTTTCGATTCGTATTGTTTTCATACTTCTGAGTTTTCTTATATGCTTCGTAAGAGTCTTATTTGATCTATCAACTGTACGAAATATTTTATTGACATTATCCAATTTCTCTTGCAATTGGATTATTTCCGTGTCTTTATTTTGAAGTTCTTGTAATATTTCTATTTCTGCCAGAGCGTGCTCCAATGAAACTGGTGTTACATTGAATATCGAGGATGTTGCTGCAAATAAGTTAATATATGATATCAATATATCATTAATATTTACATTATTTTGAGACAATGAAAATAAGTATCAAAAATTATTAAATGATTAGATAATACAGAATTGTCCACAAATAATGAACATAAATTATTCTCACCTTCAAGATGCTCTTCAATGTTTGTAGATTTATCACTGGTTTTGTTGTTGATATTTTCTATAGTCGTAAAC